ACAGAGACACAAGGGAGGAACCAGCAAAACAATAAAGATGATACAAGCAACACATGGGATGGCGAATCACATTATTGTCCAATGTGATTTGGAAAGAGACTGCATTGATTATTTTGCATAAGGAACTACGACCTGGTCACCGGACACTACACACCAAGCCCACCAGAGCTCAGCAGGACTTCAGTGATGGAGAGCTTGAGTGCAGGCATTGGGAACACCCAGTGGCTATTAGTGGTTTTTTAAAATCAGACTCAAGACTGAGAAGTTGGTTACAAAAACTGCTGAGAGGCAGCAGATGTAGGCTTGTGGATTTAGGTTTAGGACCCTAAAAAAAGCTCAGGCCCTGGGGCCAGTGGGGGGCCCCAGCAGGTTTCCCAGGTCACTTATGAAGCCAGTACTGGAGACACTGGCTCGGGACTCCCAACCACCACATTGCACTAAGGGAGAAATGCCAGTTGTCATCCAGGTGATTTCTGTCCTGCTATACAGCTCCACCCTCTAAAATGGATACAGGTTTTTCACCTATCACACAACTATGATTGTACCAGCACTTAAAATGGAGACACTTCTTTGCCTCTGATGATCCCAAACTCCTCCTGGGATTTTTGCTAAGATTTATCATCTTATTTCTGGGCTGGTGCACGCTCAAGCCATGAGGCAGGTATGTGCTATGCAGCCGGCTGAGCCACGAGAGGGCACTCGCTGTACGAGATTTCGCATCACCTCCAGAGTCAGAACAGGAGCTCCTGTGGGCCTGGGAGGGCTCATGCGTGTAGCTACCAAAAATGCTGAATGACGGATGCTTGACTCCATTTTTATCGGTCTCCAGATTTCTACTCAGACTCCAAATTTACTAGTCTGATAGACTTATAAAATTTGGTACGGCCTGTCCACATCTCTTAGTGGGCAAGATGAATAGACACTAATTTAATATACAACATGATGGTGGATGATGAGCACTCCATGAATAAGGAATATGTTACTTAAATTCCTGAAGTGTTCGTAATACAGATGAGCTTTTTACATGCAGATGGCTATATTTATTCTTTACATCAGTTCATGGATGTAAACAGAAAAACACCAAAGAAGATTTTACCTGTATTTTAAATAAAGTATTTACGTAATCTTTCCTATGAAAATCACCACAAATTAAAAAATATAAACGGAGAGGAATGGTAAAGGCTTGTAAGACACGACCAATGAACAAATCCATGAGAACACGGGTTTTTTTTAAAAGGTTCATTCGCTAGAGAGTGTCAGGATGCCCTTACCTCCCCTGGTCGGATTTTGATGTAGAAGTTGTTCCTCTTGTAGGAAATTTTCAGAACCTTTGGCCAGGCAAATCTATTTATTCTGAGTCTGTCTCGATATATTAAGAGACCACTTGCACAAACTCCTAACATGATTTCCACTCCTTCAGAATCCTGGAAAAGCAAGCAATGCACTTGGTTGAATATTTGTCTCCTTACATCCCACAGCACTACAGATTCTTGTATACTGTGTTTCTATCTGAGCTATGTCTTTTTAATGCATCAGCTGTAGTGACCTGGTTTCTGAGAGCTACCCTACTCACTGACTGCACAAGTAACAGTAAGGTTGGGCAGGGTGAGAGAAACTGAGTGTTGTGAATGTTTCCTTATATTTTAGAAAGACTCCAAAAGGAGGGGGGAAATTTTAGATGTTATTAAAATAATATTAACCATATAGCAAAGTTTTATTAGCATAATAAAAAAAGTGTTATAAGCATAAATACCAGATTGAAAGTAAGTAGGACAGCATACAAATTTACTTCTTCCAGCATCACCCATCTCCCTGACTAAGCCTTGTGAATCCTTAGATTTTTCTTCTGTAGTTTGTTCATCTTGGCTTTAGTTGGTTTGCTAGTTTCTTTAATACTGTTGTGCCTATACTCAGTATTTTCACTTTGAAATGACCAGCGGGCAGAAAGTTGGGCATTTGGACCAGAAAGATTCTTTTTAAAGTGTGTGACTGTGCCTGTGCTGTAACCCATTTTTGACAGGGAAACTGTAGGCCAGACACATTAACACTACAAAAGACTTGGCCACAAACTTATCAGAATATGCCCAAAACTACGTATTTTTAAGTAAGAAGTATACACTTCTCTTTCCTCTTCCTGAGAAGCCTTCAAATAGTCTAAACCCAAACTTCACTGTTTGCTATCACCAGTAGCCTGTATAGTTCTGGTTTTTTGATTTCCCTAAGTACTAATACTGATGGAGAAAGGAAGGATCCACCTTAAAGCACAGAGTTCTTCGGTAATTACTTTAAAATAATTTGAAGTTACAGAAGTCTGACAACAGAAGCTATGAAGACGTCACCCTAGGATAATCATGAAATGACTTCATTGTTTTCCTCTGGTTTTCCTGGCAAGCCATCTTTTAGGCATACAGTGAAAATCTGATTACATTTTAAGATGAACGCAAAGGCATGCACAGTCAATCATGATGAAAAGGCTACGGCACAGCTTGAAATACAAAAAAATGGTTTTAAAATCAGAGACATAACATACAGTCAGTGCCAGAAAGTCACTCCAGTATTAGGAAACACACCAATAAAGGATGTATGTTCCAACAATGATGGTATCACCCCTTAAAGGTAGATATTTTTCTAAATAAAGCTCTCACATGGTATCATTGTGAGGTACTACAGAAGAGACAAAGTTAATTTTTTTCAGTGGACTTCAATTTCACAGTTTCCTAAGCAAAGAGTACCATCTAAATACAGTGAATACATTCTAAAAAAGAAAGTCTCATTGCCAGTAATCCCCCTGCCTGGCGAATGCCTGAAATGCACCCATGCTCACACATGGCACACAGCTGCAGGTGCAAGGGGCTCCTTCTTTTGATATACTTTCTCAAAAACTTGTTGAGAAACACCTTCTTCCCTCATCCCCACCTCTGCAGAAGACCTAAGTCCATTCATACCTTCTTTTACTTGTAGGTGTCAGAGACTGCTTTTCAATGAGATTCTACTGGCATAAAAAGAAACCCGAGTAAGAGGAGAATTTAGTTTTTTTCAGGAGCGATGCAGTTGCACAGAACAGAAAACTGTTAGCTCTAATGTCTGAGGCACAAGACACTGAGCTGCACATCCCTGCAGCTCTGCATACGAATGGGAGGTTTTATTAGAGCGGTGACAGCCCAGAGGACAAATCTGTCTACTTGAACACATTTTTTATCGTAGCCTTGTGTTGGATAATTGAGAACTAGTTTTAACAGCAGCTGGCGAGTCCAGCATCTGTTGAATACCTAAGATACTAGGACAGCCTTAATGAATTGACATTTACATAGAGACATCTGCCACGGCATGACTTCAAAAACACATCGATGGAGATACTTGTTCCCTAGCCTGATACCATCAGATCTCACTGGCAGACCTAATTAAAACTAAACATTACTTCTCATGCAGAGTCTACTTTTTCCACTTTCAGCTCAGTTGCCAAGATTACTGTCGGGTTTCTTAACCCACAGACAGACCCAATTTGGTTAGCACTGCAGCTTTTTAAGTTAAGAACATCACTTTAGAGAGGGGTCGGCTTGTCTACCAACTTCTCTTGCTCTGAGTCTTTCTGTATCAAAAACAGACGAGTAAAACTGGATAATGATACTTTTTTTTGGTGGGGAAAGGTTATCTCAGGATATTACATCTGAAATTTCACAGTCTTTCTCCAATATTCTGAAAAAAATGCATAGGCCTTAATGCCATGCTATGTTAAATTTTCAGTTATGAAGCCTGTAAAATATTTAGAACAGGAACTCACTTTGCTGCTGTTTCACAGCTTTCTGTGGGTTGGACAAAGGATGTTGAAAAAAAGCTGAGTGACATTCACTAATCCACTTCTATCTCTGCTCCAAGCACACCTCGAGATTTTGTGCCTATCTGCAAGACACAGGGAAAGCAGCAGCATGCCTTCTGGTAGAGCGCTGCCCATTGAGCCATACCCAGATTTTTCATTTTCAGTGAAGGCAATTAACAGAACACAAAAGATTGCCTTGAATTCTGTAACAAACATACACAGCTCCTATGAAATGCCCCAGGGACACAGTTGCAGGCCCTTTCAAGATCTGAGCTGCAAATTTATCTTGGTTCTTGAAAGGATCTGCTGCAGCATAAAAACAGGCTTACAGTAATTTGACCTTTACAGAAAATGCAGTGCTGTCCACAGCTCAGGATTCTTTGTTCAGTGCTCATTTGCCAAGGATGCTTGCTAACCTCAGAGATGTTAAAATCCATTAGCTTTACTTTGAAGAGTGAAGAAAAAAACAGTAATTATTTATTTTGGAAAAAAAAAAAAAACAAACCAAAAACCCTCCAAAAACAGATAACCAACACAAGGCTGGTAGGTGGCTCTCCCAAGCCACAATAAGAATGACCATGCTTTATTCATAACTTAACCTGCCAAAGATTAGAGAAACTACTCCATCATGGGAGAATGTTTCCAGCAGAATTACTGCCCTTCCAGTCAACTGTAACAACCACACTTCATAAGAGAGACAAGCCACTGTCTCCCCATTACTATCAATCTGATTAGGTTTCTAGCAAGACTAAATAATTGCTTGAAAGTTCTCTGCAGTGTATGCTTATCTAGTTAAGATACCATAGCTGGCCTTATTAAATTGGAAGATGCAGCTGAATGAAATGACAGTTGATCACTCCCTGGACAGCTTCTAATATCCTTCCTCATTACTCTGTCCGTTCAATATTTTGCCACAGGATTTCGTTGTTTAATCAACATGAAAGGTTGATGCGCAATGTCTTCGAATCTATAGGCTAGGTTATGTTACAGTTACAAGATATATTTATGCTTATCCCACGAGTCACCTTTCCTCATGTTGACACATGATGTATCCCACAAAATGCCCGTCTCCAAACAACAAGAAAGAATAAATCAGGGAGTCCATGCAGATTCAAGTACTATGCCACAGGAGAAAGATGACTGGTGAAAGAACTATAGTCCATACCTTGGCATGATGGAGATCTACTCCATACATTGACAGTTTTTTGGCATTCTCCAGGAAATGCATCTCAGCCTCCGCAGGTGTCATTCCCCTGAGGAAAAGCAACCAATTCTAGCATCAGTGTTAAGGAAACAAGAGTCCAAAATAAAATCCAGCACCTGGAAAACACTTTCAGCCTATCAGAACTACAGCTGTACCTTTTAGATGGCTGGGTATCTACCAGAGCCAAAGCTCCGGTGCAGATCTTTCATGCTGCAAAGCTCTTCTCTAACCAAGACATGCAGAGGAGTCTTGTCCAAAAAATATTCTTATTAGGTATGCTGCAGCAGGTTCTAACATTTCCTGATGCACCAGGATGGTACCTAAAGGCAGGCTACAGCCCACACTGATGCCCTCCGCCTACCTGTGGCTCTTGTGCAGCTCGATCACTTTATCCTCCAGCTCTTTAGTGTGATTTGGCGCAAAGCGAAATTCGCTGACATAGTCACTGCCGTACTCGTCAGGGTCGTAGTCGCCAAGCTCTGACTGCACAGTGTAGGAGCCCAGCAGGGCCAGGGTGACAAATGAGCAGGGCAGCCGACCTGACACGATGTCATCTCTCAGCTGCAAGCAGAGGTAGTACCTGCAATGGAGCACCAAGATGGCTCAGAAAGTACTCCTCCACTGCTGCCCCCAAAGAAGCAACACCCAAGCACTGGCAAGAGGCATCGGTTCCTCTACTAATTTGCAGACAACTCCCAAGTCCAAAGTTTTTCAGGCATTAACAAGGATAACAATAATTTTGGAAAAAAAAAACCAAAAAACCACCAAACCCCACACAACCCCTTGCCTAACTTACGGATAGCAGTGCCTAATTTATCTTTATAAAGCAGCATGGAGGTCTCTTAATAAAATAGGTTATTACTTTGTTTAGTGACCTAGATAGGTTATTACTTTGTTTAGTGACCTAGATGGAGAATTACCCATTAAATGTATGAGGTTTCTATCATAAATCACTAAGATATATGGCTACCTGACAATTCTTTTCTTTAAGGAGAAAAAAATAATTAAAAACCCCAAATACTGTTCATTAAATGGTAGCTGAACTCCAAGCCGTTCAAAAAACCTAAGTTGTATCTTTAGCAAACTGTTGAGCTTTCTCAAAAATACACTTAAACAGTAAATGCTGTTAAAACCATGGTGATAACAGTGCAAGGGATCACCAGATGGAAGAAAACAGGAAAAAAGTGAAGGGCATTGGCTTGATGGAGAAGGCACGGAGTTCCCAGGGGAGATTTGAGGGCGATGAGAGGAAAAAAGCAATCCTTTCTTTTGGAAGACCTCTGTTGAAGCATGTACTCTTGGCACACTGTCTTTCTGCTCAGTATCTAGCACAGGGGACCCCTGAACTACGACAAAGGCTTCATGCTACCTTAAAAACAACAAGTAGTCCACAAAGCAACGAAGGTTAAAATTATCCACAGGTTGCAAAATGTTATAACAGGCTAGGGAATGGTTTACTGACGGCACCAAACTTCTCATGGCTCAGAAGTTTTTCCTGCCTTATACCAAAGGAGGAAACCAGGTGAGGGTTTTTTTCGGTTGTGGTTGCAAACCAGAGAGCAGAGGTGCAGATTGCAGAGCTCAGTGACTTGGATAGCAGGGAGCAGCCATTCATTACCACCATATTCCCTATACTGTGCACATCAGTTGCTTACCTCGTCAAATGACATACAAAATTTACATGCATGCTTATTCTCATCTCACTTCTTTCCTTCCACAGTTATGATTTTACTTAGAGTAACAACTTGTTACCGCTGGCAAAAACGGGCATCAGGCATCTTTGTGAAAATCAAAATCAACTCTCAGCAATATGTATATTGCAAAAGCTGGGTTTTAGGGTTAAATTATACAAAAGTCTTCTTAGCTCAGAGGACAGACACTGTTCACAGTGTCTTTTCTGCCAAAGCATCGCATATTTTCCATAAGCTCGTAAGTGAAAGGAAGCCAATGGGAATACAAAACATTCCTTTTCTTGGATAATTAGAGTGTAAGTGCTACTATGAACAGCTTTTAAGCCCCTTCTAGAAAGGCATTTAATGTATTAAACACCTGGTAATATCTTCAGATAGCTGGGCAGGGTCTGGAGGGTAGAATTTCACATTAAATGCAAACTGCCAAGCACCACCTGGAAAAGAACACAGATTGACTAAAAGTACACTGTAAATGCAAAGGGAGATGCTTATGCTGTTCAATTACTAGCAGACTTAAAAATACCCCAGCCAAGCAATTTGTAAGAACAGGATATAGTATCTTTTTCCCCATACATTGTTTTGAAGATACGACTTTTCCCTCTCACAATTACAGTATCAGAGCAGATTTTACAGTTTTCTTAGTTAGTAAGATTTCCACTGAAGCAAGGACCCTAAGGCAGCAGTAATTTATTACTAACAGTAAAAAATACCCTCAGTCTGAAAACAATGTTTACTGGAATTAACCATCTGAAAACACAGCCTATACAAGCTTTAAAAAACAATAACCCAAATCACAGAGGCGCTGGAAACACCGCAAGCGAGAGTACGAATGGGCTCTGGAGCGGGGTGATGTGCCGAGTTCTGGCTGCCCAAACCAGCTCACAGCATCCTCTCGGAGTGCTGCCTCAGCACATAGCTCCTGTCTCCAGCAGACATAAATTATTGTGCAGACAAAACTGCAAGGACAAACAGAGAGAGAGTGACTGAAAAACAGTACGTAACACTGGGGAATTCTTATTTAGTTATTTCAGTAAGTTTAGGTGACCCATGGGATGGATACTGGTTTGTGTCACCACAGTTTGTGCAAGTTTTTCTGTAGCGTTAGCTTTAGATGTTGTAAAGCAAGAATACCAAGACTAAAAAAAAGATAGAGTTGAACATAGTACGTAAATATAAAAGCTATTCTGAAAAAAGGGACAGGTTATACTAGCACACGTCTTGAATGCAAATAAAAAGCAGAAACAAAACCCCAAACCAGTGTTCTTACAAGAAACACAGTGGTTTTTCAGTAACAAGACTTTGCACTGAGGCCTCTGTTGCGGGATGTACCTCTTATACGTACTTCTACCACAAAAATTACAGTATTTCTCTAGTCTAGAAACCAAAGCCAAAGTAATGACACTTCTGTTTTCTGAAACATATTGATGTCAAAGTACAAATCTAACTAGAAATAAATAGGTCTCTCTTGAAAAGTCCGTGTTGGCTGGGTAATGAGGAAGTACTCGTGAACACTGTGAAAAACAGGACTCTTCCTTATAAACCTGAGAGGGTAGGGCTTTCCCATGATCTTCAATTCAGGGGCACCTCATGCCTAGGTACCTTCTAAAGAGTATGGGGTTCAAAGGTGTACCTGGTGTACTCTCCGGTAAGATAGCTTATATGCTGGACAGGTCTGCTTGCCTGGAAATACCTATGGTTGTCCTAATTGGGTGTTTGTGAGTATTTATTTAGAGATGACAAGAAAATTTCATCCCGTGCAAAGCCCCATCCACTTTGGCCATCCAAGAAAATAGGCTCAGTGTGTGAGAAGACATTTGACATTTACCATCAGGACTCCAGCTCTTGGTGAGACTTTTGGGCTCCTTGATTTTAGGAACTTTTCCACTCTCTTGGGCCATAAAAGCTGGTGGAACTAAGATTTGGCTGGCAGCAAGGATGGCATGGTCTCACCAGGGAATGGATTGGCCTCGAGGTGAGAGTGGAGCCTGTGGGCGACACCTGGCCCTACGACAGAGGGGAGGGGCCACAGCCCAAAAATCTATTCTTCTGGCATACACAAAATAAAACAAACCTATGATATAGCCTATTATACATCATGGATGGTTTAAGATACCAGAGTAAGAGGCCTTCACCCCTCACTTGCAGGGGTTTAAATAAAACGTAACACTGACAGCCTGATTTCTCAACCCCTGGGATGAAATCCCTGTGGTCTGCAGTGGAATCACGGATATCTGAGTGTTGCACAACTCAACCACAATTTAGCAGGATTATATATATGGAAAGTTTTGGAAAGTGTTGCTTTTCCACCGTTGTCCTGTTCTAAACTTCTGGGGTGAATTGTACAGAGCAAGCAAATTATCACTGTCATCTTCTGCAAATGCAACTGTCCCCCACGTCAAGTCCAGGATAAGACTCTTCTGCCCTGGTTAATCTCTCGCTGTCACAACCTTTCATTGCCTATCTCATGGCTCAGGCACATATTAAATGCATTTCAAATCAGTGGTGTGGAGCTGAGCTGCTTAACTTGCATTGACCATTAGCGTAACCTGACCTATTGAGGTCTACAGCACCTTCCTCTCCAGATCCATCTTCTCAAGCGATTAAAAAAAGGCAGATTTTCATTACTTTTTACTGCAGATCACTTACTTTTAATGAAAATAATACTGGTGGAAAGGTGTGGTTGCTCATAGTAAGTGGGGAATTTTTCCAGCCAGTGTAAATTAACCCTTTGATTCTTGGAGTGGGAAGTGATTCATTTGCCAGGCCTGACCAAACTAATGTGAACTACCAGATGTATTTGCTTGTGAAAGCACAAGTGCTAGAAGAGATCATTTACAAAACGTGCAAAGAAAAAAACTATTGAGGCTTTCCTGCCCAAAGAAGTCATACACGCAAACACTTCATCAATTTTAGAAAGTGAGGGGGGTAAAAAAAGGCAGGTCAAATTTTGAGCCTGGTAGTCTGACAAGGCTTTCCTTCGAGAGGTTTTTGAATTTCTAATGTAGCAGACAGCTAAATTTAACAACCGAGCTTTTTAAAATATTCATGTGAAGTGGAAAATTGACTGGTTCTCTGTGAATTGAATGGTCATCTTGGGAGCAAAGTTCAAGCTTTTGAAAGGCAGGAAGGAAAGATATTTTAAATAGAGTGCTATCTTTGCATCAGTGAAGTATTTTAGTATGGGGCACGAGCAGTGTTCCTGGATATGCTGTAACTATCAGTAACGTAAAGAAATAATTTATATATGTGGCCTAGTCCCTAAGGTTACGTGGTTTAATGTCAGACTTCAGGTTTTTGCATCTCTGCAAATGTCAAGTTGTTTGCAGCAATGCAAGTTCATGTGTTACAAGCCTCAGTAACCTCCTCTACTCACCATGGGGTAAAACACCTAAAAGATGCAGGTAATTCCTTTGCCAGAGACTCGGGAGAGGATGCAAAAGACGACTGTGAAATAGGTTTTGTCACCCCTGGGGGAAGGCATCGAGAGGGGGGCCGTGGCCCTGTCCCGCCGGTCCCCTCACCTTGTGGGCAGTGGGGTTGGGAGAGGGGGCTGCCGAGCCCCTGGTGCTGGGGGCACCCCGGTGGGATGGGCCCTTCGACCCAAGAGCGGCGAGTTACCCCGGTGGTTTAGGAACAAGCCCAGAGGATCAGAGGGGCTGGGCAGTGCTGGGTGCCTGGTGCCCAGGACACGCCACTCGCGTGCTGGGGAGCCCCCTCTGCCTCTCGCAACCCTGCTCGGCACCACAGGGGGTCCAATGTCTTCACTAACACAGACAGCAGTTTGGAGGGAGACACTTTTTTGTGTAGATTTTGGGGTCTGGATACACCAGAATGAAAGTTTTCCAGACCCCCTGAAATAAACACACAAATGGTAACTTACTTCGGATCTGCTTCTTGATTTCCTTGGCAGGGTCCAACCAATTCTGCAAAGAAAATGTTTCCTTTTTTCAATTTGAATCAGAAAACACAATAAACATTATTTTTAAAACAGCGCTATGAGTCAAAGCTAGAACACGTGAAGGTCTGCCACCCCCTCCTCCTTGGAGCAGCAGTAGGCAGGGATAACACTGACTTTCAAGATGTGGCCCTGGGTCGAAGCAGAATTTTTACTAACCTTTCCAGACATTGAGCGGCTGAACGGTTTGAAATAAAAAAATAAAAAAATAGAAACCAGTAAAATAAATCCACAGAAACCTTCTTCCAGAGTATCTTCTGGGAAAATTAAATTTCTACAAGCTTGTTAAGAAGTTTGTTTGTTTGGTTTGTTGGTTGGTTTTTTGCTCTAATCCTGGAAGGGCTGAAAAGGATAAGCAAGCGTGCCATAGGGTACTCCCCATTTGCAATCCGGCATGGGCACAGGGGCTTGCTGGATGCAGAGGGAGCGCGGGGGTCATCCAGAAGCAGAATCACAGCACCGGAGCTGCCCCCATCCACTCCACGCAGAGCCCGGTGACAGTGCAAGACAAAACTGCTGCTGAGGGGGTGGGAAATTATCATGGTGATATGTTACTAATCCATGGATGCCAAGGAGCAGATGAAATTCCCCTGGAGGTGGTGCACAGCAGTTTGGGGTCTCTCAGTGCCACTGCTGCCTTGTCCTCTAACAGAATCAAATTAATATTTAAAATGCGTCACACAGCCTAGAACAAAAAGTTTGCTTCCCCTAGGAAAGTTCCACTTTCTCCAAAGAAAGACAAACAAACGTATCAGAGAAAAGAAAATACTAAAGAACTATCAAACAAGCAGACCACAACAATCTTCCCCCAACAAAAATAACCAATTTGCAGCTGTCCAAACCCTATCTATGTGCAAAATGTGAGCCTGAAGAGCTCCGGCTATTGCTGAGCACGAAAGCACACTATGCACCAAGAAGTTAAGGATGCATAAGGATTTCTGTTTACAAAGGTGACATGTGATGTGGGCATGTATATTGTCTGGCTGGAAGTTACCTGGCAGAGGATGGAGGTCAATTGCTAAGTACTTTGATATGAAAAATATGCATGTTATTGATCAATAAATGTGGTGGCAGGCAGTATTCTTTTAGTTGTTTAGCTCTGTAAAGTAACTGGCAACCTATAAATGTTTAGTACTTCTGAACCACCTGTTAATAATGACTACATTATCCTCTTTCCAGTACAGGAAAGCACACCTATCTGGAAATGCACTTAAACATTTGCCAAACTTTTACCACAACTCAAAACTAAGCATATGCTAAAGTGTTATCTTGCACTGGCATGGACCAAGTGTCTGCTTAAGTGATTTTCTGATTCAGAAACAAAATCCTTATATTTAAAAGTCTGTAAAGAAAGGGGAAAAGAGAGAAAACGGAACTGATTTCTTTTGCATCATATACAACTGAAACAAAGGAAAGCCTAGAAAATAAAAACTGTTCTCACAAGACATGAACAGCTGAAGAAGCAGTAATAGCTCCAGCTGCATCAGGAAAGACCTTTCAGGCCATGCAAAGCACAAAATATCTTCACCTGGTGAGCTCTGCTGGGCTATGGCACATACTGCTGAAAAGTTTTGTTACTGGTTTCTTTCACAATATTTATCTTAAAGTGCCAAAATCACACAGCATATTTTAAATTACCCTTTGATACCCTCTCTTTCATCATAACACATCCAAACCAAAATATATATATATATATCACCTGCATGCTAGATCATCTTGGACACCGTTAACACACAGCTTATTTAATACTGAAGTTGAGCAGAATGTGATTCACTACTGCTGCCAACTGCTTGTGAAGACTTATGTCTTTAGCCAAATCAACAATAACACTCAGATAAAGCAAGTCAAGACTTAAAGCCTTACTTTATCTTAGCAGTTAGCAGGAGCACTCAATCAACTCCTGCCTATCTGTATCCCAACCATAGTATTATTAAGCTGTACTTTAGTATTATATGTTCAGCAGTGTATCTATGAATGTAAATCTGACTTTCATCTATGGCAGTAATGAAATAAATCATACTAGAAAGAGAACCAGCTGTATGATTAACTTCTTTCACATCATAAATAGCCAACACAGAGGGAAACCAGGGAAACACAGGGGATGCTCTTGAGAGGTATAAAAAACAATAGCTCAAGCTACGTCTATGGAACTCGACAAGGAAGGTAACAACTTCTGAACTGTTTGCAAACTGTCTGGGGGGTGTCTCATGGACTTCTGATGTCCACATGCCAAAAGCCAGCCACAGTTTTGGGGGTTACCTTTTGGTTTTCCGTGTCTCTGTATGTTAGCCCAAAGTAGTCTTTTTCCAAAAGGTTCAGATGCTCGCACACTTTGTCAAATAGCACTTGTCCTCTGGAACGTTTCTGTGGGAAATGAACAGGAAAAAAAAAATCATGTTTGCAAAATAAAGTAATATAAACATTAAAATAACACCTTTTCTGTTTAATTCTCAGATCAATAAACCCAAAATTATTTATTGAAACTCATCCATGTTTCAAACCTATTGGTCTGGAGCCGCATAAGAATCTGCTGAATGGGGTAGATCTGCTTTCCATAGAACCTCAGATCGTCTTGCAAAGTTAAAAATAAGTCAATACGTATCACGTTTTACGTTTCAATTAGCAGATCTCTTCTGTCTGTCAGAAATTGCAACTTCAAATGCACACTGATGTCATATCTCAGCAAACCAGAGCATTCTTTGTGTGCAACAGCAGCAACAAACAACAGTACAAAATATTCCCGGTCATGGACTATCAGAGCTGTGACTGAGGGGCAATCCATGGAGGAAAAGCCAAACGTGGAGATACTTCTTGCTTCGGTAGCAATGTACACTGATTTTAGGATCCTTTATTGCCTAATATATAGGAAAATACGATACACCATCTACTGAAATCACTGAAAGAGCATAGTATCTCACTGGGAACGCAGCTGGGTGAGAAAGCAGCTTTCCAGTGTCCCACTAACCTTCTTTACTGCTAACACATTAAATGAGCAGATCTCTCACTGTCAACAGCCAGAGCCCTTAGCAGAAGCTTCGTAGTATCGCTTGTATTGGACATTAAAAATTCAGGTCATCCTAGCTCTCAGTGTTATGTGTGACATAGAGAAAAAATCTCAAAAAAACCAAACGCAGACAGATATGTCCCCTTCATAAGCTAGGTGTGCGAACTCTGATATGCATTAATTATGATAAACAATTAGAAATTATTTGGGCCGCAGTTTCATCAATGCCTGCTTCCCTAAGTGCAATTCAGCTAAAGGAAAAAATCTCCCCACTTTATATCAAACACACGCATACATAAATATTTTAGTTGATGTCAGCACTGCGGTGTCTTTATCTGTAGCATACGCATGACTTGAAGCAGACTGGAAATACGCTACTCACTTCAAACACAGCGCAGGAGGCTGGTACAAAAGAGGAGAGAACACCACCTCCAAATTTACGTGCCTCAGCCAGACCGCACTGCCAGTCCCCAGCCTTGGCTGGGGGATGGATATTTCACAATCCAAGCTGACATAGCTACGCCAGCAAACCTGTGGAGCCCAACGCTGGCCTCAAACTATTTTAGAAGTGGTAAGCAAGCCAAGAGAAAAGAAAAAAAAAAAAGAATTGAGGGTTGCTGCCTAACACCCTGCGAAAACATTACGAGAGATGATGGAGGGAGCTGTGCAGTGTAACCTAATTTACGTTAAATTCGGTAATTCTGTTGGGGCTCGGTGTATTAGAAAGGAAGCAGGGAAATATCCTCTACATTTTTATCCATGGGAAAACTGAAGAATGTGGCTGAAAAACTCTAACAAGTGTTCTCCAGATGAGAAAAAAAAAACAGGCACAGAAATGCATTGCAAATGTATTGCTGTAACTTCATTTACTGGGTCTTCCAGCATCATTTAAGCAAACAGCTCTAGGGCCTTGTTCTGCTTGTCACATGCCTTTCACCCTGTAGTAGGAAGCATAAACATACCCTAGCTCCTTTATAATTTCACACAAATGTTTAGTTAATTCAGCACACTGCAAACTTGGAAGTAGATAATAAGGGGTTGGTGGTTTTATACTTGATGCTCCATGGAGATGATCAGGCAGATAAAGAAGGTTTCACTACTGGTGTGCAGAGAAGAATAAAGTCCGAGCCTTCAAGCCAAAATTCAAGTTATAAGCAAAAATTGCCACATGTATTGCTTTTCTACTTGATAACAAACCCAGTGGTTATACTGAACAGAGAGAAATAAACAGGGTAGCTCTATAGGATACCTGCTTTGAGAGACACTATGCCTGCATGACTGCACCATTTACATGTATTTGAATTGTGACACTTCAATGTCCTCTTAATTTTAAGAGTCACACAAGGCCAACACAGGAGCTGTTTTATGTGGCCGATCTGTGTAGCTACACAGATGTCAGCTTTGAGAAATAGTAGCTAGCAGCTGCAAGGTATGGTGTTTTAGCAGGGAATTGCAGGAAAGAGTTGTGTGGGGCTGTGCCGTAATAAAAACCAACCAACCAAAAAAACCCAGTGCTCAGGATTTCTTGTTTGGCCACACATTGAGGGCAAGTGAGAATAAGTATGGGAAGCATGGAATAATTTGCATGGTCCATTTTTTGTCCATGACAAAATGTATCCTCCTCTTCCTGTAGAAATATGCCCAAGTTGTACTCAGCCACCTTCCACAATCAGGATACAGGAAAACCCTGCTGGTGCTGTGAGAGGATGTCAGAAATACCATGTACAACCGACAGCCCTTGCCAGTTGGGGTCCTCTCTTCAGTGGACACCAGGTGTGAACTGGTGACAGCTGAGGGGAAGCCTTACCAGGACCACTTTCTTTCTCACTCTCCACAGAAACACCCATCAGTATCCAGACAGATGAGCCTCACGTTGCAGAGTCGCCACTGCCCCTGAGCGCCTCTTCCCAGCTCAGAGCTGACCCATGGGAGCAGGATTTAGGGGGCTCCTGTCATTTGGGGAGTGGGGGCTGCCTAGCAATGGAGCCACCACCGATGCCCTCCAAATCCTCGTGCACCTGCACATCTGCAGCGCTGCCGCTTCGTACCCGCAGAGCAGTAGCACGCACACCCTCTTTCTAAAACAACATTGCACAAAAACACAGTGAGGAGAGGCTACTGCATTAATCCATAGGAAATTAAGAGGTTTAGTCAGGAATATATAATTAAAGCAACTGAACAGACCTCCCGTGTTCTTGCTAATTGCTTTTATTTTACTGTGTGCCCAAATAAGCATGCCAGACAAGGCACGGGTATCATTGCTTTGGCAGGGAGAGAATGGGAGGAGGAGAGAAAGGTTGAGTTACAAATTCATACAGCTCCTCAACCTATCCTAAACCTTTGCTTTCTATCATTTTGGGGTGACAAGTCTAAGGTGATGAAAGACTGACAGTCTGTTGATTACCATGGATCACTGGTTAATGCCAAAAATGCCAAGCAATTCTCAGCAGTCCAAAAAATGTGGATTAAAAAAAAAAAAAAAATATCAGACTTCATGCTATAAAATACTGGCCACGTAAATGAAGACTTTTTCTGAAAGGTAAATATGGCAAGAGTCTCCTCCAGAAATATTCTTAGCTATTTTTCAGGCATGAATAGGATGAAATGAAATGTGCAGATGTGGAAAAAGAGACACTGTGCTTAAGCTTTGGGAAATCAAGACAACAGAAAGAATGCAAAACATAGATTGAACAGTGTAAATGAGTACAAAAGTCCGGGAGCAAAAACTTTACACTTTTCACAGCCTGCTCCCTGCAGCCCTATAAAGGCCAGGGCTCTCGCTCGAAGCTGAAATGGGGAATAAACAGCCTTCTGGTCAAGCTCCCAGTGAAAGGAGCCAGCAGCAGTGAACTTGGCAAGCCTGCGCCCGCCAGCAATTCCCACATGCAAGGGAGAGGAGAAATGGCTGCTCTCCTAGCCAGCTTCTCCCCCGGTTTTGGAGCTGAGCTTCTCCCTCCGCAGGAGGCCGAAGGCCACAAAACGTTCTCCTGGCCCCTAACTGGCTTCTCCAGAAAGAGTTCGTGCTCAACCCCCTCCACATTGGCTTCTTCAGCTCATATCCCTCCACCGCACCCCCATCCCCTTACAAGACCACCAGACCAAGATAACACATTGTACATCACTGAGAGTGAGGAGCCCAAAAAAGAAGTACTTCCACCTTACCTCTGCCTGGATAACAAGATTATTATGAAGTCAGTTATTCTCATTGGTGGAAATTTGGGTACAAGGTTTGGTATTTCTTAATGCAGAAAAATAATGAGAAAATTTTCCTTTATTATGATTAAGCCCATAAGCTGTAATGTTCTTATGATAAATGAACATTATTAAAGTGAAAAAACACAAGCTTTTGTTACAGATAAATTGTTGCTTCAGTCATAAAACACATATTGCACATTAATATAATCACAGATTGGCTGAGGCTGGTGGGCACCTCTGGAGACCACCTAGTCCAAACCCTCTGCTCACGCAGGGCCACCTAGGGAAGGTTGCTGAGGATTGTGTCCACTTGGGTTTTGAGTATCTCTAAGGATGGAGACTCCAGAGCCTGCCTGGACAACCTGTGCCAGCGTTTCACCACCCTCATAGCAAAAATGTTTTTCTTCAATTTAAAGGGAAATTCCTGTTTTTCACTTTGTGTTCATTGCCTCTTGTCCTGGCACTGGGTACCACTGAGAACAATCTGGCTCTGTCTTCTTTACTCCTCCCATCAGATATTGATACACGTCGGTAATATCCCTGAGCCACCACCTCTTCTCCAGGCTAAGCAGTCCCAGCTTGCTCAGCCTTTCCTCACAGGAGACATGTTCCAGTCCCTTTCACCGTCCTCGTGGCCCTTTGTTGGACTCTCTCCAGTATGTCCATGTCTCTCTTGGACTGTGGAGCCCAGACCATGACCCAGCACTCCAGGAGTGTCTCACCAGTGCTGAGTAGAGGGGAAGGATCACCTCCCTTGACCTGCTGGCCACACTGCCTAATGTGACCCAGGATGGCACTGTCCTTCTTTGCTGCCAGGGCACATCATTAACTCTTGTTCACCTTGTTGTCCATCAGGACCCTCCGGTGATAATAAAACCCATATTGCAGCAATCAAGCTACCAAAACTGTATGCTACTGTACTGCGATAAGCAACAACAAAAATTACATGGGAAATGAGTAACCAACAGTGTAATACAAAGATGTGACACCAACTTCATTGTCATGCAGGTGCTAGTAAAGACCCCAGGAACGCTCTTTGCTATTAAGTGTGATATAAGGAAGAGATCAGGAAGATTTCAAATGTTATATGCTGGACAGTGCTTCCCAGACTGGAAGCCAGTTGGGCCAGAGGAACATTTATCAGGATCCAGAACTGCCACCTTCA